AAAGTTTTATCACTGGGACCATTTTGGACAAACTCCCTAACAGCTGCAAAGCACATTCCCCTATAAAGAGTGCAGCAGCCTGTTCTCCTTCCTCGTAGTCAGCCGAAGTGCTACACACAAGGTTGATGTAAAATCTAGGCATCCAATTAAATCTGAGGAAGAAGTGTTTTACTGGTAACCAATTTATCTTGTATTCCATTACTTGATTTAAAAGAGCAAATCTTTTAGTTGCTGTTATAATATAAATATACCAAATTCAAAGCCAACAGGCTCACCATTTACTAGATATGACAAATAACCAGATTTGTAGTTTATTAGAGCACCTACAGTATATATTACTAGAGAGCCCTGAGGCTAAAATATTTCCTGCTAATGCAATACCAACATTCCCATCTGTTGTCTCAGTGGTAGTGACGAAGGAACTGAATTACATCATTAATTTCAGTTTAACTATGTTTCATCATTGGCAACAGATTGGGAATTAATATTCCAAACAGGATTCCTCACCACTGCTTCACAGCAAGCATGCAGATTACGATGTGAGTCTCTTCAAGGAAAAATGAGGAATGGGCTTTCCTAGCTGCTTTAACAACTTCAGTCTGTTTTCCATTTGGAAAGCAAGGAGACAAAATGCAGCATTACACACTGCAGTGCAATTTACAAGCCTAACGTAGGAGTCTATTTCTGCATTGCCCTCTATGCAAGACACCACCTAAATGATGGGTCAGAAAATGCTATCCTGTGGGGCCCATTCTCACAGCACCACTCAGAAGGGAGGCATATTGGGAAGGAAAGCCCTTAGAGGACCGAACTAACACTGCCTGTAGTTCAGCTGATTTCTATGCTAAGAAAAAGTGCACACCAGTTTATTGTACCACCCTAGAAATGTTCCTGCTTGTGGAAAGCCCTATTGAGGAAACACACTTCATGCCTACATGAACATCAGTGCCCAATTTACTAAGACATCCTGGGAGGAAATAGACAGCAATACTTTTCTTTAGCCAAAGTAAAGAAGTCAGCTATCCTAAGCCAAATCCATTAATAATTTAAGCTCTAAATATACTTACAAATTGCCTGGATAATCATGGTATCTACTTTGTCTGGGCTGAATTTCAGCTTGTATCGGGAAAGGCTGAGGAGACACAAATACAGCTTCATCAGCATCCTGACATCCTGTAGCAGAATATGCCCCACCTGTTCCTTTTTAACATTAATACAGTTGACCACAGGTTCACTGAAACCAAGCTCAGTTCTGTGCCACTGACTGCTCTCAGCTGTGGCCAGAAGCCACACTGACACAAGCTTCACAAAAACCCTGACAAGTGTCCCTCCCACACCCTATCACCAGGGTGAAAGTGAAGGTTATTTGTACCACCTGCTGCAGACTGAACATGAGTGCTGTGGCAGAAAATTAATTGGCTGTTGGTTTTTCTGCTTGGTTCCCCACAAAATGTATTTGTCAACAGCACTTCCAGTTGGGCAGCAGCTGGAAGCAATCCACAAAACTGCAGCTCCCTAGCAGCAAATACCAGCAACACTAATGTGAAGCAACAAAAGAAACTTCCTGGAACAGATTCTCACTGTCTGAGAAAGCCCATTACCATCTGGCTTTAATGTTATGTTAACAATTTCTCTATATGCTACAGTGAAAGACACTTGGTATCAATGAGGATTTGCATCTTAAAAGTCCTTTTTCAATATTAATGCCCATTTTCTAAGCAAACCCACTTTTAAGGAATTGGCTACAGCAAAGCATTTCTCTAACTTGCCAATGGCTTGTGACAGGACAAGCTCATGTCAGAATGCGGATTAAAAAGTTACTCGCTAATGGATGCTTGATCCCTTGGTGATCCAACAACTTTGTACTTAACTACTACTCCACTAAATCTAAAAAGCAGTAAGAACAAGGTGGGAAGAACAACCCTGCCTGTAATATTTGCATTATCTATTATATGGGTACTAATTGTAGCACAAATCATCAAATTGTGGTCTCCACCTTGTCTCTTAGTGGCAATGGAGCTTTAAATGACTCCCTTGACTGCTCCAGACACATTCCAGAAATATATCCTGAAGTATATAACATGAAAAGGAAAGCTACCAGCTTCCACTTTGGATGAAGATGAAGCCTTTCCCTGAAGGGTGGATGCAAACTGAAAGCCCTTCCTTTGTAAAACAAGGTTTCAGATACAGAAGTATCTTGACTTACAGAGTAAGAGACCATGCCACATACTCAGAAACACTTCAAGCAGCAAAGCACAGTCAGGGATACAGAAGTGGGGCAGACAGGATGAAATAGTTGTAGGAACTCACCTGTGTGCCAGACCCAGGCACATAGCTGCCATCTCTCGAGAAGGAAGGCCTGTTATGAGCCCTTCAATCTGTGAGCGAATTCCTCTCATCAGCTCTGTAACCATTGGGCTGTGTATACAACTCAAATTCAGCTTCTCCTGCAGTGTGGAAATCAATGGTCCAAAGTCAGGCACAACACAACATTCCTCTGAAGTCCTTCTTCCAGCAGCCTTACATCATTTTAACTGGTTTTCCCACTGCAATCCTGTGATCACACAAGTTTCATCCATTTCTGATGCTCAAGGTAGTGTTACCCCCAGTTGCCCAAACAGTTAATATTCCACTTTGAAGAGCAGATTTATAATTAATGCTCTATCTGCTATGTAGAATATTCAACTTAAGATTCAAGATTTTGAGGTTTACTAGAAAGTTTGGTTACAGAAAGAAAATTCAGAGGTAGACGGTGAGGGGCTTTGTGTCTTTTCAGAAAACAAGAGTGAATAATTAGTTCAAAGTCCTTGCTATTACTCACTTTAACATTAAAACCTCATCTTGCAGCCTACACAGTCTCCTAAGACAGCATGAGGAGGTTGTCAGAACAAAGTTCAGTGGAACAGGAAGATGGACATGAAATGGGAAACTGGTATTTGACACCCAGGAAACATTGGAAAAAGCCATCCACCTTCACTGAACCTCTTCTTCCTCTGGGCAGGCAAGGACCAAGGGGTGTGCACAGCTGCCTGCACACTGAGGAAGGCACAGCAATGTCCACTCCCAGAAAGACAATAAATCTTCACTCTACTATTGCTGCACCTGTTAGTGAGGAATATGTGTCTGCCTGGCTCGGGTTTTTTGGTTGGTTCCTCCCTCCAATCTTTTTCTGGATTGGATCATTAGAAAATGAATTTTTCTACTTGCTGGGTTTCTAACCAATATTTGAGAGAGAAATCAAGCAAACCTGAAGACCTCAGTGCATGACACCATATCAGTCACCTGTGTTCTCAAGACAACATTTTCCCTGTAAACATACTAGGATTAACTGTCCTCTATGCTGCAAACACAGCACTGGCAGCATAATCCATTGCTAGCAACTGCAAAATCTCTGGAATCTGCGTTTCAGTAGCATGAGACAAAAGGAAAAACAGCAAAATCAGTTATCACCTTTATAACACCTCCAAGTTTGGCATCTGCCACAGCCAATTGCTCGTGGGCATCTTTTGCCACTATCTTCTTGAGAATCTTCTTCAAGTTCTTGCTGAGCTTGCCTTCTACAAGAGCTGTGGATGCTGTATAAAACAAAAAGACCAAACATGTTGTTTCTTTCCCCTCCTAAAACCTGTAAAAATATTACTCCTAACTTCATGTATTTAACTGTCCACAGTAGCTCTAGTCTGAGCTGCAATACTACTTTACCATGCAATAGCTAAAACTCAAAATAGAAGAAAATTATACACATCCTCCTCTGAAGGTCTAAATGAAAAACCTTTCTCCCAGTTGCCTCTCCTTTCTCCATATGTTTTCAGTTCTATTTTTGCCAATTTTGTTTAAGGATCTCTACAAACAGTATGCCATATGCTTTAGATACATGTTTAACATTTCCAACAGCAAAGTTATATTTTGTGTATAATTTAATTAACCAACCATTTTCCAGGTCCCTTAGGCAGCAACCGTGATATCCTAAATTGTGTAGTGGCTTATTTGCATTCTCTGGTGATGATAATGTACTTTCTAAAGCCCCAGGAATGATGCCAAACTGGACAGTCAGACAGACCCTTTTAATACAGCATGCAGACAGGAGAATCTTTAAAGGATGTTCTTCATTCTTAAATATTAATAGAGCTGTAAAAGCTTTACAATCCCACACAACATATTTTAAGCAGGCACTTATACAACTCTGAGGGTCAGCTCTGTGCTCCACTGAACTTCTGGGACTGTTTCCATCACAGTAACAGAGCAGCAGCTAGTGATTTTTGGTTTCCAGAACCTAATGCTATGTAAAAGTAAAATCAAAGTGCTGTGCTGAGTTTCCTCTCAACCCTTCTGCAATGCAGATAATTTTCTACTCTGCAAGCTGGCCAATTATCAAGCATCTAACCCCTTGAAACAGTACATACATAGTCCTGACTTTAAAATAAATGAGCCATAAGTAGGCTGAAGATCTGCATTTCACAGATAAGCCAACTTGAAGCATAGTAGTAGAAGGTGTTGGATGGTTTTGAGGTTTTTTTAATCAGCCTAACTATACACGAACTGAATCCAAACCTATGCAAACGCAACATAATCCAAAAAATATGCCATGGAGAGGAACGTACAACAGTTCTTTTACTTGCATCTCATGTTTGATGGTTGCATCTCCATTCTTGCCTCTTTGCTTCCTTTATAAGCTATCCCTACTGCATCAGAATATGAAGAACTGATCTTTAATTATAAATGTGACCTGGAACATTCACCTACTTAAATCATACAGCACATTCAGCAGTAATTGTCACACCATTTCTGAATTATTGTCTAGAATTCCTACGATTTCTGTTCAAACCAGGCCACACATCAAGCATTTAAGTGCAGAATTCATAAAAATTATTGAATATAAGGCTTTCCATTCTGCTTAAACTCCTGAATTTGAGGAGAACACAGACCTTTCTTAGGCTGAAACAGGCACAACATGTATCCATACAACCCAGGTGGTTGTAATAATGAATGTTCTCTAATACCTGTCTTTGTCTCAGTGGTAGTGACGAATTGTTGACTCAAATCAGTGATATTCAGCTTCAACAGAATCCATCATTGACAACAGACAGGCTACATGTATCAGTCACAACTTATACAGTTCTCATTTGTAAACGGCTTAAAAATATGTACTGAAGGAAGAAACTAGACTTTATTACATCTTTAGTGCAGTACAGACTGGATAGGTGACCTCATAACCAGCTCACTTTTAAAAACCTGTAATTTAAAAGCTAAGAAAAGAAAAAGAGCATGGACACAGGCAAGTAATGAGTGAACTAGTGCACGACACAGATTTGATTTTTTTGTAATAATAGTGTTGACTCACTTACCAGCAAGTGCTTCTGTTGTGTCCTGAAATTTTTCAAAGTGTTTCAGCTTTACTCTACAGAAATAAAATAGAAGTGTGTAAACAAGTGTACATAAACCACATGCTAGAACCATTTTTTCTGCCTCTGCTACTACACCTCCTCTCTTTTCCCTATGGCTTCAAGAGAGCAAAGATCAATATGCAGACCCTCAAAGAGGACTGAGAGCACTAAACTGGCCAATTGAGTCTGGTGATATTTCAGCTGGGTCCCACAATAATTATATGAAGGGAAAAGAAAAGGAATTTTGATTTGGTATTTCTTGGACCGACATCACCAGAAAACCTAACCCCCCTTTTTGCTTTGTAGTTCATATTTAAAGACAGACATCATCCATTTAAATTTCAACACTGCGCCCTGATTGACTGATGATAGCATCTTCCCACTCATCTTCAAAAGGAAATGTTGTGCCTCTGTGGAATGCAGAGCCTGCACAGCTCAGATTTAACATGCTTTTCAACCAAATACACCTTCAAAGACTTTAAATTTGAACTGATTCATTGCCCATGAATCCTCAAGTCCTTCCCTGTAATTAGATGTTAGAATACAAGTTCTGAGCTGAGCTTAAGACAAACAACAAAAATTTCATTAATGCCCTAAGTGCTGACCAGAGCCAAGAATCATAGGAAGAGTGTTTAACCACTCAGTGTCAGATCCTTAGGCTCAGCTTCCCTCTACCCCTCACACAGTCTGTGGTGCTGATATATAGTTACAGTTAAGAAGCTATCTCAATCCAGTAATTCCTTGTCAGGGACAGGCATTTAACTAATCCAGCTCTGATTAACCACTGCTGGTTGTGAGTCAAGTACCAGCAAAGGAAGCAAGGTCACAGATAGAGCTGAATACTTGAGTTAAGCATTTGCAGATCCCAACAAAAGCTTCGGGCTTACACTGATGCCTTTTCAGAAAGGCAAAAGAGGAATTATTTTTATCAGAGTAGAGATCCCATTAAGAGCCACATCCTGTATAACAAGTGGCCAAGACAATGTTTCCAGGATGAGATTAACCACACTACAAACAGGCAGATGTGGGATATTCTGGCCTCTGCTCTAAGTACTGTTACAGAGCAGGATAAATATGAAATGCATAGCTTGCTCAGATGCATCCATTATAATCAAAGCTGGTTAGACATCTTCCAATAAAAACACCAGACAGACTTGGAAGGAATCCACCATTGTCCCCAGCTTTAGGGCAATTTGTAGAAAAGCTAACTTGATTAGTGGATGCTGCAATCCCTGTGCAACTCTGCAGTGGTGCTAACTCTCACTGATGGCATGGGCAACAACGCTAGCTCTCAATTCAGTGATTTACATAGTTCCACCTGCATTAAGCTTTATTTTTCCCAAAAGAATTTCCTGTGAGCACAAAACCCTGTCATTTCACTGACACTTCCAGCATTACAAGCTTGAATGTTCTTGTCAAAGCACCCACATCACCTTAAAATATTGTTCAATTTTTTTGCTTTGGTGACACATGGTAATGACTTCTGCTACTTAATTACACTGTAAGGTATTTCTTTCACTTTGATATTCCATTGTAAGCATCTCAGAGTATCTAATTTCACATTATCATTGTTCACAGCTTTTACAATACTAAAACCCAAAAATCAGTACTTTGTTTTGAACCTCAGCTGTGTGTAACTACAGGCAGCCATGTCCTTCCACAAGCCAATCCACACTGCTATCCCCACATAAAGCTGCTTACATTTTGTTTGCTTTTTCAGGAGTTTCAAATTCTTTCCAAAGACTGTCAACTTCTTGAAGCTTTTTCTCATTCAGAACCTGCAGGAAAAGAAACCACAACACACAACGATTTTAGTTCTTCAACCCAGGACACCTGAAACATTTACAGTGTATCCAACCACTCTGCAGTAGTTAACACAGATTGAGTCAACAAACTCAACTTCAGAGATCTCTGTTCCACCATTCTCTCTCAACAGCTTTACACTACTAATAGAAATAGTGCAACATTTTTACTTTCCCCTGAATTACAGAAGTTCTTCAACAACGGCTGTGTCCTCCCGGACCTGGCACATTAAAGCAAAACCCTCTTCTTTATCAAAAGTGGGCTTGATCCACCTGCTCTACAGGACTCACTCATAACCATGGTGACCCAAACCCAAATCTACCACTGCCTTGGAAAAATAAAACATCTGGGAAACTTAACAGAAAGCAGTGATCCCCTAAGTTATTTTCATTAATCAGAGCTAACCCAAACAAAAAAGAAAACATCCCTGTAAAGAACAGTTGTCACCACAGCTTGGTCATCAACTGCACCAACAATTACCTAAGAGGCAGCATTGGCTTAATCCCATCTCTGTACACAGGGAACCCCCTCAGCTTTTAAAGAGCACAAGATTAACACTTACACTCTTGGAATCTACATACATTTCACAAAATGCAGAGTGCATGGCAAATTCCCAGAAAACTGCTCAGGAAAATAGTCGAGATCTTTACAACAGTGTGTTCTTTACATCTCACTCAAAAATCTTGTGGTTTTGTCCCCACGATGCAAATGCAATGCAATTGCAATTTAACTCAGTGCAGAAATCATTCCTAGTATTATGAATTTTGCTCCCTGGCAGATTTTTAAGCCCTGGTTGAAGGGGGCTGTGTTTTTTAAGCTCAATTAGTAGCTAAGCAAATAAACCTAGCAATTAACGTCCCACATGACTGTGAGGCACAGCAAAACCTTGGGGCAACTCTTCCTTTCCTCAGCCATATGATTCTTTCCTGTTCATTTTTCCTACACCAAGACCTACAGAATTTTTAGCCTCTATAAACACACATGGGCACATAGAGAAAATGAAAGACATAGAAACTGCTAAAATCAAGACTGTTAGCATACAAAAATGACACGCCTATGGATAACTGCTGACACCTGCAGCATACACTGCAGCACCTCTGCAGACACCTCCCTGCAGCTCTGTATGTCCCTCCTCCTACCTTTGCTTTATGCCTAGCCTACCTTCAGAAATTAAAATATTAAAATTTATATTAAAATACTGCCTGAACTGCACGGCTCCACCCCAATGAGGAGAAAAGGTTTCAGGGCAGAGGAAGGAAATATCCAGGAGCAGCAAGGGTGCAATTCTGCTGCAGGCAAAGGCAAAATCCTTTATCTTTTCACACAAGCCAAACCCTAAGACTAAGTTGGAGGGGGAAAAAATAACGGTGTTATGATCAAACTATGATCAAGCTGGTAAAACTGTACATGAATCAACGCTCGAGGAAGAGAAAAGCCAGAAAAGCGCACGACAGTTTAGGCGTGCTCAAAGCCCCAGGAAGCCGCAGCCCTGAGCCACCCGGTCAGGAGGCTGGCAAAGCCCTGGGAAGGTGCCTGTTTGTCCCTCGTGGAGAGCGAGGTCGGGACACGGGAATCCTGCGGGCACCCTCACGCTCCCCGGGAGCCCCGCTTTCGGGCAGGCCGGGGCAGCGGCCCCGCACAGCCGGGAAGCTCCGCCCGTCTCCCTCGCGGCCCCTCACGCACCGCGGGGCTCTGCGGGAGCAGCGGCGGCCCCGAGGGCACAGCCGGCAAGAGAGAGGGCTCAGCGCTCCCGAACCCGGGTGCCCCCCGCACACGCCGAAAGGGGCACGGCCCCGAGAGCACAGCTTCCCACCAAATCCCGGCCGGCGGAGGGCAGGAAGCGAGGACCAGAGGTGACGCTTGGCAGGCACCGAGGAGCTCCCCTTGTGCCCGCCGAGCACCGCCAGCCCCTTCCCCGGGGCCTCGCTCACAACGCGGCCCCTCGGCTCCCATCCCCGGCCCTGCTCCCACCCCCGAGGGGCCGCACGGGATTCGGCGGCCCCCCGTCCCTCCCTCACTCTCACCCCCGCCCGTGTTTCCCCGTAATTCCCACCGCAGGCCCGACGCGGCCCACTTCGCCCTCCCTCCTGCTCCGCCGCAGGCCGGCGGCCGCGACCCACGGGGCGAGGGGCAGCGCTCTCCCGCGGCCCAGCCCCGCGGCCCACCTTGAAGATGGCGTAGCCGGCGGCGGTCTCGAACAGCACCAGCATCGCTGCGGCGGGCGGGGGGCGCCACGTGCGCGCCGCACCGGACCCGCTCAAGCACGCGCACGCCGTGCAGCGGAACCGGAAAGGGGAAGCGGCGGCAGCGGAAGCGAGCGCGCGCGGGGAGCGGAAGCTGCGGGGCCACCTTCCGCCAGCGAGCCACGTGGCGGGGCCGCGCCCGCGTCCCCGCCGGTCGCCGCCCCCGGCGCGGGTTCGAGTCTGCTGACGCGCAGAGGCGCGGGAGCCGCCGGTGCGCCCCTGCGGCGCCTCACCCGAGCTGCCCTCGCTTCCCCGGGTGCCGCAGCTGGCGGCAGGGTCGGCTACCGTAGATAGGAAGGGGGTGTGTTGCCCGGGACTTTGTTTCCCGAACACATCCCGAAACAGGTGTGAGCGGCTGGCCCCCTCGGCGACCCCGAGCCGGACCGGCTGCCGGTGTCGGGGTTCAGCCGGCGCTCCCGGCCCTCCGCTCACGGCGGGCTGTGTTCTCTGCCCGCTCCGCTCTGGCTCCCGCGGCCTGACCTGCAGCTCATGGCACAGAAACCAGTTTATTTACGCGAATAATTGTTGGCAGAGTGCGACTGTGTGTGTTGAAAAGCTTGGCTTCGCCGACAGACAAGCACCAAATTCTGCTCATAAAAAACAGGCGTTTTGAACGCCGCGTGTTTCCGCAGGCTGCTGTGGGCTCCCCGGGGCACG